GTTCCCCTTGGGAAGTCCCAGGGTTGGATTCAGGAGAATTGCATTAAACAGCCATGAAACAGCCCTGTGTAGTTACAAGTCTGAGGAACTGCAAACCTCTGCAATGTTTTGGCTGCTCAGACCTTGGTCTATCCTAGGTTTATTTGGGAATCTGCAGCTCCAACATATTCCTGTGCTTCCCATTGATTCTGTGAGAGTCCCAGCAGCAGGGTGCTGAGGCTTGTTCTCCTTGGTGACCTTCACTGCTCTGATCTTTCCAGGAGCTGCTCTCTGGTTCCTTCTGGGATAGAAAGAGGAGTTTTTGGGAAAGGGGGAGGAAAACCTGTCAGTTTATAGAGAACCTGCATTACCTGTTGGTTTATTCACTGTGGGGTCTTCGCTCAGGTCTTTTGAGTGCACCCAGCTCACAGAGTAGCTCGTCAAGACCACATTAGACTTGGATTTTAAACATTCTGTTTGTGTAAAGCTGGAATCTGATATGGAAATCCCATATTTTATTATTCCTGACAAGACAACTGCGTGCTGCTTCTGTGTAGCTGGGTGGAGGAAGGACGTGCAGCTGTAAACCAGAACAGCCTTGTCATTTATGTCCCAGGACATCTTTGTGTGACACAAACCAGTGTCAGGGTCACTTCTGGTCTTTTCCAACACAGGCCAAAATCCTGTCATGGATCATACTTGATACCTGAGAACTTCCAGCAGAGGAACATCCAGCTCATACAATCCATTAAAGAATTTCTTCAGAGCGACGAGTCCAAGTTCAATAAATTTAAAACTCATTCTGGGCAGTTCAGGCAGGTGAGTGGGTTCCCAAAGCCTCCTTTGCTGGGAGGCCTGAGTTCTAGTGGGATTTTTAATATATAAATATTCATTTTCCTCTGATTCTTGCCCTTCCCTGTCCCCTGCAGGGGCTGATCTCTGCAGCTCAGTATTACAAAAGCTGCCGGGAGCTGCTGGGGGAAAACTTCAAGAAGATTTTCAAGGAGTTGTTGGTGTTGCTGCCAGACACAGCCAAGCAGCAGGAACTGCTCTCTGCTCACAACGACTTCCGGATCAAGGAGAAACAAAGCTCCAACAAACCCAAAAAGAACAAAAAGAATGTTTGGCAGACGGACTCCCCCGCCGACCTCGACTGCTACATCTGCCCCACGTGCAGGCAGGTGCTGACCCAGCAGGACGTGGTGACCCACAAAGCTTTGCACATCGAGGATGAGGAGTTCCCCTCGCTGCAGGCAATCAGCAGGATCATCAGTTAGCTCTCCCCAGGGCCTCCAGCCAGGCTCTGGCTGGGGATGTGCACTTTGGAACGAGGTTTGGCAGTAGCTGGGGGCTGGTGCCCTTGAGGCAGTGAGGAGCAGGTGACTTGGGAAGCCCTCCTGGGCAAAGGGATCACGGGAATGTGCCAGAGCTCGTCCCCACCCGCTGCCTGAGCTCCCAAATCGGGCTGGGGTTAGGCTGAGCTGCAGGGGGGGCAGGCAGGCAGGGCTCCTGCCTCCTGGAACATGCAATAGCTGGGAATCCTTTTGGATCTGCAGAATGCCAGGGGACACAATAGGGGGACAGGCTTCTGGTTTGGGGGTTTCTTTCTGGTTTTGGGGTGGGGGAAGTTTATGGATCACTGAAATGAATGGAAGTGGCTTCCCTTATAACATTCTGATTTTTTTTGTGCTATTTCAGTGAAGATCACACTAGTCAGGGGTAAAAGGTGCAAGAGAGTGTTGCTCACTGGGGTGTGTGACCAGGAGAGCTGCAAACACTGGGCTGCAGAATTTCCCTTTCTGCAAACAGAGTCAATTCTGCTGCTTGAAGAATTGGGCTGATCTGTGCAAGATTTGAAGTTGCCTCTGACATTTTCTGTAAAGTTCTTTCAAGAAACTGATTTTGTAGCCCTGCATGTACAGTAACAGCATTAAGGCTTTACTCTCTGTAAAGCACACGAGAATTTTATTTAATGACTGCCATGTTTCTAATTTCTTGGATGTATTACTGGTGGGAGCTCCCAACAGCATCCTGGGACATTAAATGCTGCTGATTACTGACCATGTTTTCTGCAGTGCCTTTAAGTGCATTTATCTGTTTACAGTAGTCTGACACCTGCACCTCCTTTTGCTCCTGTTCCTTAGCACCCCCAAATTCCTCCTCAGAGGAAGAGGGGGATCTCTTCCTCCTCTGAAGTGACTCCTCCAGCAGCAGCTCTGAGGTGATGGAGTGCCAGGAGTCCCCCCTGGCTGTAGTTCAGTCTCTGATTCTCTCCCATCTCCAGGTTTAGTTATTTCTAAGGTGTAGGAATAAAGCTGACGTTAATTTATGTAATTTGTAGTGATGGAACACAGCTTTTCTAGCATCATCATTTCTGTGAAATCAAGCTCAGAGTGTTACCCAAGAGCTACTCCTGCCTACAGCCACTCTTCCTTGCCTTACATGTGTTATTTTTGCTTGCTCTCAGGCTGCAAAGTGCTTTGGGTTTCTTTTCTTGAATACTTAAGACTGTTCTGACCAGCTGTGCACATTGGATTTGGCCCAGAAGGGGCTGGGGAGGGCGATTTGGGTGCAGGAGCCCCTGGCAGTCCCTGTTCCTGGCCCCTGAGTGGGCTGGGTGCTACCACCACTTCAGTCAGCAACTCTCCCCATCCCTTTGGTTTGTAAAATTCAGGGAGTGAAATGTCTTCCCTGCAGGAGCATCTTCTGTCTTCCCTTGGGTTTCAGTTATTTCTCCAGCAGCAGCTCTGAGCTCCCTGGGAGCTGCTGCTGGGATTTCCCTCGAGCTGCTGCATCTCTGGGGCCTGATGTTGCAGTCTCCTTGTTCCTTGTGCTCACCTGATTCAATAAACTTATTACCAAATATTTTTTTTTTTTTTTCTATTTATTTTTAGCTCTTTATTGAAAATAAGTTGCAGTTGGTTACACAGACACCGAAAATACAGAATCACAGATTGTTCTCTCAAAAGATATTTTTATATATATAATATATACAAAATTGTAAACATTTTTAACTTATTTCCATACACAGTCCACTTCATACTACACTGCACAGAGGTTAGTGACAACTGCAACTCCTGGAAGCGTCTGCTTGGACAGAGGTATTGGCAAAAAAACTGAACTTCCCGACCTTCAGGTGGGAGCTGTTGGAGATTAAAACTCTGAAAGGAGCTGAGGTTTGAATGTGTATTGCAACAAAATCCAGGCAGCTGAACTGGGGCTTCAAGTTGAGGCAGTGAGGGCTGGGCCTGAGCCTCACTGAGGGGAGAGAGGGGCTTGTGACACACACAGGGGCAAAATGCAACTGAGAACGGGACCAGGGGGGACCAGAGGGGACCAGAGCCACCTGCTTGGGGACAGCACGGGCTGGGAGGGGTCTGTGAAATACCCAGGAGTTTTTACTGAGAGAAATAGCCACTGCATGGGAAAATGCTGGGATTTCCTAAGGAACAGAGCCAGGAGCCAGCCCTGTAAGGGGCTGATGGGAGGGGAACAGGAATGCTGTGGGTGTCACTCGTTGTTGTGCTGTGAAGTGATGGGAATCTCATCCCAGTGGCCAGGTACAAGAGCAGTGAGATCCCA